GAAGCTTAGTGCTTCCCATACTGGTTATACTCGTTCCTTGCCTCACTAAGTAGGGAAATAGCCTAGCGGGTGGGTGGAGAACCACAAGTTTCAAGTTGTGTCCTGCACTAAAATTTAAAAAAAAAATTGTGTACCATAGAGGAAAAAACCAAGAAGAGATTACAGGAAATTTTTTCAGATACTTTACATATTTAAGCCTCAATAAGCCTTCTAGTAGTATGTGTCCATGCGTGTGAAGAAGGGAAGAGAACACATAAGTTCAAATGGACACTAAGACAGGAAAAAATAAGTGGCAGTGAGCACAAACAGTCAGAGGAACTAAGGAAGCACTGAAGTAGAGGCAAGACATCTGATTGGAAGAAGTATAAAAACAGGCAGAGATTAGCAAAAAGAGGCTAGATTTGGGGACGAATAAGATTTTATAAAGAACGTGCACTTGAGAAATTATGTCATTCAAAAAGAGATTAAAACTTTGAAAAGAAAACAGGTAACTAGGGTATTACATTATGGCGGTGAGCAGAAATTGCTAAAACATATGCTCAGTTCTCAGGAAAACAGGTTCTGCAGGAAGAAATTGGAGGTGGACACTGGCCGCTTTGCCCAAAGCCACCCAGCTAGTAAGAGTTGGAAGATAAAATGAGATGTCTGTCTGTCAAATCTGTGCTAACAAAACAAAACAAAACAAAAACCTACATCACATCACTGCTCAAAAGAAATGAATTCAGAGGAGAGCCAAGGAGGGGTGTGGCTGGAGAAAGGTTTGGCAGGTTGGCCCGGGGGACAACCTCTGCTGTTTGTGAAAGCAGCACATCAGTGGGATAAGAACCAGATGCAGGAGGAGAAAGTAAGAGAAGCAAGGAAGAGCCGAGGCAGGGGGTGTGGGCCGCTTCCTGAAGAATTCCAGGAGCCAAAAAGCATAGTAAATTATCAATAACTATTTAATACTGAGTTTTCTTAAAGCATTTTTTGATATTATCTAGAAAGACAGGTCAAGTTATGGTCCCAACGAGGAAAGTGTTTAGTCTCTAAAGTGCTAGATTTAAAAGTTCTAATTTCTTTAACTTTGCATGTGGGGTAGTTTCTTATTCTTTGTTTTAACAAATTGAAAAAGCACTTAATTAGGTTGTCAGCTAATAGATGATCAATCAAAAATGAGGTTTGGGGCATGTAATCAAAACGGGTTCAAATAATTTAGGGACATTGCTATGAAGAAACTGCTTCTTGTCCATCCCCTTCTTTTTTTTTTTTTTTTTAATTTTATTTATTTATTTTTCCCCCAAAGCCCCATTAGATAGTTGTATGTCATAGCTGCACACCCTTCTAGTTGCTGTACGTGGGATGCGGCCTCAGCATGGCCGGAGAAGCAGTGCGTCGGTACGTGCCCGGGATCCGAACCCGGGCCACCCGTAGCGGAGCGCGCACACTTAACCGCTAAGCCACGGGGCCGGCCCCGTCCATCCACTTCTTTACGTGACCAGGCTATCTCAACGCCCCATAGATCAAAAAAGAGAAATAAAATGAAACGAATGTTGTAAACTGTCTCATGCTAGCAGCAAGTGGTATTCATCCATGCATATGTGAAGCAATTGAAAAAGTCCTGTTTCAATAAAAGACATATTTCCAGAAAAAATAAATAAATAAAAAAATAAAAGTTCTAATTTCTTAACTGTTGTTTTTTAAAACACTCCCATATACTGGATAATTCCCAAGAGTTTTAAAAAAATCAATGAACTGGAGCCAGCCCTGGTGGCCTAGTGGTTAAAGTTCGGTGCTCTCACTGCTTCAGTGGCCTGGCCGTGGAACCACACCACTCGTCTGTCAGTAGCCATGCTGTGGCAGCAGCTCACATAGAAGAACTGGAAGGATTTACAACCAGAATATACAACTAGTTCTAGGGCTTGGGGGAGAAACGAAAAAAAAAAAAAAGAGGAGGATTGGCAACAGATGTTAGCTTTCCCAGAAAAAAAAACAACAACAAAACTATCATGGACCCTTTCCCCCAAAAGTTGAACTTACTCATATATTAAAAAAAAAAAAAAAAAATCAATGAACTGAAGTAGTGCTTAATTTCCCAGCATGTAATCCATTGGGCTCTGTGGTAAGGGCCTCCTGTTATGTTTTCTTTAAATTTGGTCTATTAACAATGACAACAGACAACAGCATTGACACTTCCATTCAAGATGTTAATTTTTTTTGATGAGGAAGAGTGGCCCTGAGCTAACATCTGTGCCAATCTTTCTCTATTTTTGCACGTGGAACGCTGCCACAGCACGGCTTGATGAGTGGTGGGTAGGTATGTGCCTGGGATCCGAACCCAGGAACCCCGGGCTGCCAAAGCAAAGCGCACAAACTTAACCACTACACCACTGGGCTGGCCCCAATGCTAATGTATTTTTGAGAGAATCTTCACGTTTCTTATGATGCCTGACAAATAGAAATGGATCATATAGAAATTTTTTAAATGAAGAAAAAAAGAAAGGCATTTAATTTTGGTTTTGGGAGAAAATTTCTCTCTTGATTTTAGGAGAGGATTTCCTCCCGACATTCTCAGAGTTAACTGAACTTTCAGTAATTTGCTATTAGTACTGACTACAGGTGCTGAAACCACTGCTACTGAATATTTTCTAAAGCGGGAGGGAGATGTTAGGTCTCAATTTGGATGACTGCCAAGTCTAAATCCCTCACCTTGATGCTGTCATTCAGCTGAAGCCCCACTTTTTCAGCTGCCTGAGGCTATCTCCATCTGAATGTCCCATTATTAACTTAAATTCAACAAGTACAAAATCAAACTTGGTATTTCGGTCCTCAAATTCTCCCTGCTGACTTCCTTACTTTTGCTGACAGGCCCACTGATCCAGCTACGCAGACTCACACGCTGAACTGCAATCACAGGAGCCTCCATCAGGGCTTCCTGTCAGGACTGTGCTGTGAGGAGCTTAGCAAATATATGTGTTTAATTCTCACCAAAACCCCGTGAGGTAGGTCCCAGCGTTCTCGTGACTCTCCTTTAAGATGGGGAAGCTGCGGCTTAGTGAGGTTAGTAATTTATTTACAGTCACTTAACTAGTGACGGACACAGCAGGACTCAGCCCTGAGACTGCGAACACTCAGAGCTTGAAACCTGCAACCGCCTTGCTGTGTTGCCTTAGAGTCACCTCTCACTCCTCCTCCTCCTCCTTTGCCCGATCATGAAGACTTTTTCCCTAAAATGTCCTCTACAACTATCCTCTCCTTTCCATTTTCAATGCCACCACTGGCATTGAGTTCGGCCTCTCCTCATCTCTCATCTCTCCTAAGTGGTCTTCCTGCACTTTGCTGATGACTCATCTTCTTAAAGAGTCACTTCTTGTACACCTTTAGCCTAATGAAACGTCTTCGATGACTACCCATGGTCTGAGTGCTGTTGTCTGACTCAGACATCCAGGTTACCACGTACGCTTCCAATCTTAGCTCTAACCACTCATCTTCAGGAACACTGGGTTTCATCCAGTCTAGACTACTTTCTGTGTTCTGATCTCCTCTGTCTGTTGAAATTCTACTTATCACCTTCACAGTCTAGATTAAGTGCTACTTCCTTCATGAAGCCTCCCCTGATTCCCTTAATCAGTCAAAGATATTCTGGAATTTTCATATGAAAACCTACCCTAGCCTGTACTGTGGTCACTTGTGGACTTATCATGCTTATAGGATCCTAGTTCCTCTAGGGTTGAACTTGTGTCACTCTTATCTTTGTAGTTGGTAGTTATGTAGCATCGTGTAATCAGTGCACATGATTCTTGCTTAAAAAATGAAGACGTATTACATTTTATCGTTAGATGCTGACAGGATATGTAACCCACGTACTCAAGATGTTTTCAATCTAGTAAGGGAAATAAAACTATTATTCGAAAATTAGCAAGAGAACACTCAGAAACTCAACTACGAGAGTGATGAAAGGACAGAGAGAACGGGAGGGAGGAAAAGGTGGAGAAGGACTTAGAGAAAAGTTGAGACCCGCGTTTGATGCTGAAAAGTGAAGAAAGTTGCTGTAAGTGGAAGGGTGTGTTCTGAGGTAGGGAAAAGCATGAGGGAGGGCTCTGAGGTAGGGATGGGCATGGCAGGTCTGGCAAGAAGGATGGCACTTTAGGAACACCCACTGAGAAGGAAAAATACCAGGAAAGTTCAAGTTGTTTCAAAGTAAAAGCTCCCTCAAGTTCACAGTGTCATTTCTTTTTTAAAAAACATTAATTTTTAAAATCAAAATATAATTGACATAACATTGTATAAGTTTAAGGTGTATGGCATGTTGACTTGATACATTTATATATTGCAATATGATTACCATCATGGCATTAGCTAACACATCCATCAAAATTTCCTATCACAAAGCTTTTTGTGATAACTAGCATTCTTCCAAGTTAATCATAATTAGTGAGTTTTTACTGAATATTTTTATACTGCTATATAATTGCTAGAAGTCATCATTGACTATCTGAATTATAGTACATGGCAATATGCTGGCAAACTGCTTCCTTTTCTGCTTTTCAACTGCCATCATGATTTAAGGTTTTGATTCCTAACACAGCCTCGCACAGATGGTAAGAAGTGATCTCATGGATGAGATTCTAGAACTCTAAAAAAATAAAGCCATTTTTATAATGAACTTTCTACATGCTAAAGGATTTTCTTCACTCTGATTTATCCCTGCAAAACTGCTATATGATTGCCCCTGCTATTGTTCCAAGAGGGGAGCTGTTCACAGACGTGTAATGAAAATATGAAGCTCATTTCTTACTGTACTTATGATCTAATCCACACTCAAAACTGGCCCTTGGAGATTGACAAATATAGGTTGTGATAAATTATTACACAGACCTATTCCCACCAAGGCACTAACAGAAAAAATAATGAAAATTGACTAATTCATTTTGAAAAGCTACCTAAAAAGCCAGAACAAGTAGAAGGAAAAGAATTTAAAAAGTATACTATTTTTTTTTTCTTTACTACGTGTCGCTTTGGGGAAAAACAGGACATCAACACATTTTAAAACTATAAAGCATTGACTGTTCTCCCAGTTGTTAAATTCTTTTCCATGTGAATTACACATCACTCTTTCCTCAGGACTCAGCGTTGCTAATTTTCTCCATATGTGTGCAATTTGTCTTTGACCTTTCTCAAACGTCCTCTAGGCAGTCCACTTACCATCCAAGAACAACGCCACAGCATCCTTTTATGGGCTGAAAGCTCCATAAAAATAAATGATCCATGGCACAAGCTACATCAACCAGCAGAATAATAAGCTATTTCAGCCCTGTAAATTTTAGTGCCATCCATTCAAAACCACACTGGGTCACTTTAGTATTAAATTCATAGGAACAAAATAGTAAATACACATGTTTTATTTGTTAAGCTGCCAGCTATATATTTTGTGTAAAAGTTTGTTGGCCTAGGAAAACCTATTCAAAGGCACATCAGGCAGTGTATATTTAAAAGCAGTATCTCTTTCCAATACATGATTTTATGTGCCACAGATACACTTACTATTAAGCATCATGTATATTTAATATCACAACGTTTACTTCGGTGCCCTAAAAAGCTTTTGTTCACTTTATAGTTTCCATTATTGAAGAGCCAACACTCAGTTCTCCCACAATTTTCTAAGTGCAGGCAATCCACACGAGCTTCCAGTTTGAGCTAGCAGCCCCGTGGGACTACGGTAATTGTTATGAAATCATTAATTCTACCTCAGCAGTTTCAACTGTCAGGTACATGTAACAATAATTGCAGTTAATGAATGCTGCTCGATTTATTAAGGACAAAATGAAAACCAGTATTCTTTTATATGCAGCACTGAGACATATTAACATTTGTGTATACTGTGTTGAATATTCTACTGTCATTTATTAGTCAGGGTATATAGCCATGTTTTTAAAACATTTCTCTTCATTAAAAAACAATGCAGGAAATTCTAAGTCTCAAATTAAAGAGTAATTAAAATAATTAGTACCAAAAGTAATGTTTAATAAGAATCTATGTCTATGAAAAAACAATCCAGCAGAACCAAGACTTAGTTCCCTCTTTGGATAAACAAGATTCTTTCTTGTGCCACCCTCCCTTCCCCTAATCCTTACAAGAGTGTGAAAATGTGCAAAAAGTTCCAGTTGTTTGAAATATTAGTGTTGTTTCTTTCTCAAACTTTTAGACAGTAAAATGTTTGTGCACACAGATACAGCCAATTTCTTGATTTAAAGAAGTAAGAGCTAGATTTCTTGTTTACAATCACTCACAGTAAACTGCATAGACATTTGCGAGAGCAAAGAGGGAAGAATTTCTGAAAATATAAGATGAAAAGGTATCACTTTTAGGATCCCAGAGGCATCTGCTTCCAATAAGTACGCTCTGACTTGTCAGCTGTCCAATGTGACACACCACAATCAGCTTATACCGTGGAATCAGCAAGTCCTTGACCCGGGCTTTAATAACCTGGAAATTAAGAGGAAAAATAGATCCCCACTTAGCCACAATGAAACTTAAGAGTCTTAATCTTTGTCATAAATATAGTGGATTTACTTTAAGAAAATAGTATGAGCCATTGTAGATGCTTTCAGTAATTGTTGTAGAACATAACTGTGATTTACTTCAAGCACTGTCCTCATGAGATAGGACATTTAGGGACAAAATGACAGCACCAGCAGTAAATCTACATTTCCTAAGGCACATGGGAAAATTGTAATCCAGCGCACAGAAGTTAATGGATTCATTACATTCTTTGAAAATCTATGTGAAGATGGCTTCCCTTCAAAGAATGCTGGCATCAGAGTTAAGCGCCTTGTTTGTGTCTAATGAAGGCAGCGCACTTCTGGGGTCTCCGGTGATAGGACTAACCGTGAATGTTTACTAAAGACTTTGTTGTAACAAAGGAAGTAGGGAAAACCTGATGGAGTCCCAGCACTTTAGTTGACAAAAGTAGAAATGTATTTAAAGGCCACAGTATCTGTATTTGATGGCACTCAAAGAAACTGCCTTGGGGCAGAGAAAAATGACCATTAAAATATTGTATCTTTTACAATGAATTTTTTGACAAATGGGGCAGTTTTATACATTTTTTAAACAAAATGAAAATGATGCACATAATGATTGTCTTAGACAAAGGTTTTTTACACACACAAATACGCATGGAATATGACCTGATAAATAGTTTCATAAAATATAAATAAGCATTTTTTTCTGCTACTGCAAATTAATTGCCTTCATCAAAAAGTAGGAGATTGTGTTTTCAGTAAATATTCTAGTTATAGTTAACACTGGGCAAAGCATACATATACCTCAGAGACTGTCTTAGTCATCTGTCTGCAGAGCTCTGGTTCATAGTGTTCTTCTTGTAGGTAGTTAGTTAACACATCTTCCAAAATATGATTGACAACAACCACAGGGAAAGGTTCGGTAGGACCTGAAAATACAGATGACATTTTGTTCTAAGAAGTAATTTCAAATCATATCTGCCCACCCCCTAAGCTAATCAAGAGTATTGAAACATGAGAGACATTTAATCTTCTTGGTGGCCCCTATTTTAAGAAAAAACTGGTCCTGATTAGGTTTCCAGTCAGGTTCTCTGGCAGAGGATAAGAAGACGATGGACTCCTCCCTTTACCAGACTACATGAAGAGTGTGTTCAGTACCACTGAGGTTTGACACTGAAGGTATCCTCCTTCCCAGTTCCCACTATTAATGTCACTTCAAAGTCTCAACATCTTTCCAACTGGCCCCCCAGCTCTTTTATCTCCCTTACAATCTATCTACCACACTACAACTTGGCAGATTGCCCTAAAACCCAGATCTTACAGCGATACTTCCCTTAGCAAGGTCTAAGGTTTACCTCCTACCCAACCTGTAGCCTTTTCTCCCCCCACCACAGCTCTCTGCGCCAACGCTGCTCCATCTCACGGACTTCACCTGTCTTTCAAATGTTGCTTGTGTACATTCATTCTTGCTCTTCTTTTTAAACAAAACACCCTTCCCCACCTTGTTCATCTGAGAAATACCCACTCATGTTGCAAGGCCAGCTCAAAGGTCTTCTCCAGGCAGCCTTCCTCCTCTCCACAGGTAAAAGTCATCCCTCTTCTCTGCACTCCCAGTGCACTGGGTGCCCGCCCCCCCCATCCTGGCTCCTAGTCCACTAGACAAGAGCTCAGGCATACCCGCCTTTCTCCCCGGGGAAACAGTAAGCTAGATCAGATTTTATCCTCCTCAGAGTCTAATACAAGGCTAAAGGCATAAGAAATGTTTAATGTATGATTTCAGAATTTAAATAGAATTAAACATTTTATAGAAAATAATCACAGTACAGATAATGGCTACTTTTATTGAGCATTTTGTACATTAGGCACTATGATGAGCTTTTCATATTTATTACCTTATATAACCTTCCAGTAAATCTCAGGTGAATCTTACTGTTATCTCCATTTCACAGACAGGAAAACAGAGATTTAAATACATTCAGTAACTTGCTCAGAATCACACAGTGGCCCAGCTGGGAGGCAGGCTCAGGTTTATCTTTATTTTTGTATTCCTGACTGCATTTAGTCCACGTTCAGATGGACCTTTTTATCCTGCACCACAGGAATCTCACCTGTGCCTCCGGGCATATTAACTTCACCATCTCTCTGGTTATGTGCCCATGTCATTGTACAACGTGCACATATGCCCAGAGCCTGGCATCCAGAGGCTCCATTGTTATTTGCTGAACTGATATGGATGAAGGAATGAGATCAAGAACTATATCCAACCCTATTTGAATAGTTATCAGTATCTTTTAAGTGTTTATTTTTAATGATTGTCTCAGTCAGGGTCTAAGGAAATATACGGCACACTAAATTCAGGAAAATCCCAGGAGGATTTAGTAAAGAGACTCCTTAGGAAGGTCTGAGCAGAATGTGGGAAATCACGAACAATAGTGCAGTACTCTTGGCTGGTGAAAGCCAGGGTGTCACCCCTGTCCCACCGCAGGCTTCAGGGGTCTGAGAAGGGAACTGTTACTAGATCCCAGAAGAGGCATGTGGAGTGGCTCTCTTGAGAGCAGCTCACGTCTTTCCGTTGGCGGATGCAGACAGCCTGAGATGAACCCAGAGGCAGGGACAGGAAGCAGACAATGCAGCCACCCTCCCTCCCCCGACTTCCTGCGGAAGTTTCCTATTGCTGACCTTAACAGGAAGATTTCAGCCGGTGCCTGTAGCTAAGTTAGCCTCCTGGGGCTCAAGAGAGCATTTTTATTTTGATGATTATATAGGAACTGTTCAATTAAATTTAAACCAGCGTGGGGAATGAATCTGGACGTGTAAACAGAGACACTTGATGCAATGAGTATGGTGATAACCCCAATATTCAGTCAGCTGGAATCCCTGTTCTTCAGGCCAGAGACAAGCAGTTATGAACCTGTAAAGGGCTGGTCCCGATCGCGCCTGCTTCCGGGGGTCGGAGACAGGGCACCAGCTGCTGTAGGTGAGCTCCCGGGTACCTACCGGCCTCTGTGTCACCTTCCGGTGGATCTTTTAGAAGATTTCCGCTTGCATACTCGTGTGAAATGAGGCTAAATTTGAAGTTGATTTCCCCCTTTCCATTTAAGGAATTTAAAAATGAAACTACTAGCTTGGGCTCAATTCAATAGATTATGTCCTTTAGACGGATATGCTCGAGTCTTTTTCACTCCCTCCTCCCAAGACTCGCGTCGCATGTTCCTCACCTGACTACATCCCTCACATGGCTGTGTATTAGAGCCATGTGTTCTCCCTTGGGAGAACAGGCAGTTCCTGCCCCGCAGACCTGCGTCTGCCTCGTGAGGCTCCCTGTCGTTTGGGAACAGCATCTCCTCTTCCAGGAACTGGTCCTCTTCCCACTCTAACCACGTGCTTCTTGAGGATCTGCCGTCACTTCCTTTGAGCCCAAGTCCAGGTCATGGTTGATGGGCCCAAGGTGGCATTTGCCCCAAGGCAGGCCAGTTAGAGCCCTTTCTTGGAACTTTTATTTTAAACTAGAATTAGGAAAAAAAAGTGAGGCTCTTTCTGGCGGCAGAGTGATGACTTGTGACCCGTAGGAAGTGCTGGAGGCTGTGTCTCTCACAGTGGGAAGGAAGCCAGGCCACAGTGAGAGGAGCCCACACAGTCTAGTGCTGGAAAGACGAGGCCCGGTGGCTCTTGACGCCCTGATTCCAGGGGCTCCCGTTGTACCAACCTGTTGTCTGCACCCTGCGTAGTTTTTTAAAATCTCATTAACCAGATTCTATTCTGAAAATATTTGGAAATATAGTCATGAACTTTTCTTTCTTCACTTGTTTGCGACCTCGCCCCTATACAGCCAGTGTCATCTGTTGCCTTGCTGAGGCCGGGATGCTGAGATGCAAAAAAGATAGAAAGACTCAAGGTCTGCTTTGGACGTCCAAAATGAGCTACTCGCAGAGTCAGCTAATGTGGATGCCAAAGCTTTTTTTCTTTTCTTTCTTTTTCTTTTTAGGGTGAAATTTTTTTCTTTAGGAGGGGAAAATGTTTTTGAAATCAAAAAGCAAAGACCTGAAGAAGGGTCAGGATGGGGGAAAAGAAAAAAAGAAAAGAAGAAAAACTTGCCTGTCAAAATAGAGCTGAGAGAGTAGATAAAAAAATTTTGGTTATTTAACATATCTGTGTCTCAGTTTCCTCAAATTGGGATAATAATAAGAATTACCACATACTGTTTTTTGTTAGAATTAAATGAGGTGAAATATTTAAAATGCTTAGAACAGTGCCTGCTGCACAAAAATCCTGCTCATTAGCTATTTATTATTATTAGTGTTGTTGCTGTTATTGTGGCTGCCTCATCCTGAGGGGAGAGGTGGGACTGCTCGTACTGAAAAGGCAGCAGTCAGCAGGGTGAGCAGGGAGCAGTGAGGCCTCCACAGTCGGGAAGCACCCTGTGGCTGGGGAGAAGTCGGTGCTGAGAGACGGCCAGGCTCTGTCCCAGAAAGCGTCTGATGAGAGGGATGATCATCGCATGGAAGTGGAGCTCAAAGGACGTCTCTCTCTTTCCATCTTCAGATTCCACTTTTCATGGTGTTGGCTTCATGCTCAGGCAGGCTGTCTCAATGGGGCAGCAGAGATGGCCACCAAGAGCTCTTGTCTGGCCTGCTGCTCACAGTCAGTGTTTTTAAAGAATCAGGTACCTCTTGCATCATTTCGCCAGAAAAAGCCCTCGCTCCATGATTAATAGATTATCCTGGATGTCACAGAAACCTGTTCTTCTTAGTGATCTAAGGGGAAGTCCCAGAGTCAGTCACTTTGAGAACAATAACGTAATGAATGGAGAAGCAATTTAAATACATTACTTCATTTAATTCTCACAGCATCCCTATGATGTGTGGGTGATGATCCCTATTTACAGATAAAGAAACTGAGATTCAGGGATGCTGAATACCTTGCTCAAACATCATTTATTTAGGAAGTGGAAAAACTAGCATTCAAATTCAGATACATTGGATCTTACAGCCTGTATTTTCTTCTACACTCCTGTTTCAGTAATTAATTGAGAAAATGTAAATAGTGTTTTATTATAAGAAATGTACTTTCATTTTTCCATTCACTTTTTTCTTTCATTAATTATACTCATGTTTCATCTCATTCTTGCTGGCTTAATTACTCAGATAAAGGGAGGATAAACATGCTAATATTTAAGATGTGTTTAGATGATGCAAATATTATTGGATAGGATGTGAAAAATTAAACACAATATAATGCTGGTGATTAACTGATTTTTCCCCCAGTCTTCTGGTCAGTATTGCTTTGTGTAGATATGAAAAAATCTTTACCAAAGGTCCACAGAGTATCTTTCAGATGCAAAATAAATCCAGAAACAAGTAGAAGTGGAAATATGTTTTTGATTATTAACAAGATGGCTGGTTGAATGCTTAAAAAAGGGATTGTCAAGCATAAAAGATTTTAATCATAAAAGAATAATTCATATGACTTTTTATAAGAAAATATGGAAAGTACTTTATATTAAGGTATTTTTAAAATTACTTTTCTAACTTGGTTCAACACTCAGTACTTCTAAAACTGATAAGATGATTTAGTTTTATTTGAGGAAATAAGCTATGAAAATATATCCTTATGAAGAAAAACACAGGGCTTCATTATTCAACTCCTTTATCCTGCTGAAATCTGATTCAAACTCTTTCAGCATGCAGAGACCACAGTCACAGACACCAAATGGCTAAGATCTTTTACTTACAAGTGGGGAAAACTTGGCTCAAACTTAGCTTTCCTAACTGCAAAGTCCAAGAGTAGACAGCTGGATTTAGCACTCAAATGATGACGTCAGGGTTTGGTTCTCTCTTGGCCTCAGGCTTGCTTCATGTGGGGGCAAGATGGCAGAAGCTGCCATGGCTCCTACATTCTTGCAGCTCTCAGGGCCTGATCTGCTTCTTCAACAGCCCAAACAACATTTTCTGAATTGAATCTCAAAGGTTTTGATTGGCTTAACCAATCAAAGGGTTATATGGCATCCCAGAATCAGTCATGTTACATCTCTAAAGCTAGTGTCAGCTTCAGCAGAATGTTATGGTCAAAAAGTGGTAACGATGGAAGTGGTGGGGCTTCCCCAAAGGAAATTGGGTAAGGTTACCAGAGGAGTATAAAAGTATATTGGATGGTAGGAATATTAGTTGTCTACCACAGGCCCTGTGAAAATACCAGTAGACTGACTAATTGTGGAGCCTTGTAATCCATGTAGCCTTGGGATTACTGTCGAAAACTGGCTACAAGGCCTAATGGGATGTGCTGATGGTCTATAATTTTCTTGAGGTTAACTGGCCACAGATGGAACCACTCTGGCCCATAGAGTCTTCCTTTGGTCATTGGTAAGTCTCTGTGGAATTTCTGTATAGCAGTATAATTACTGCATGATATGGATTCAGATAATAGTGGGCAGGTATGCATTTAGAGAAAACAAGTAGGTCTATGAGGCAACATGAATGGGAAAAGATATTCACTGTGGACTCCACCTGGGAGTATAGGGGCAGGTGCAAAGATCTTTGTTTTCAAAGACCCAAAACCTCAGCGGGAAGGGATAAACATCTCTGTCAACAGGGGACCAGGAATCATTTGCCTTGAAGGCTTTTTTCTCCACCTATCAACAACACTGGTTGTTTTTGTTGGATAAAACTTTAATGCATATCTCTTTCATTTAACTTAAGTATACATAAAATAAGTCCACCAGATAACCCAGAAATACCCAATGAACATCTTAACTCAGTAATACGCAACACACATCAGTGCCACCCAATGACTTGGTTGATGTTTCGGAAACACTGATGAAGAAAAGCAGGCAATGGGTGTTGGTTCCATTTTGCAGAGGAAGAAATTAAAGCAGCATCAAATCACTCAATTAATTAAGATCCCTTATATTGTGCTAGCATCGAAGATAATGCCAGGTTATCAGATATTATTTTAAGTAAATGTCATTCACAAAATTAGAAGTTTAAAAGAGGAGTGAAGGATAAAATAACACACCCAGCTGGTAGGTATTCTCCATCTGAACCGTGAGGCGAGAGGCATCCTCATGCTGGCCGGGTTCATCCACATGAGACACAGTGCTCATCGAGCTAAAGGCAAATTTCAACAGTTATTATAACAATAAGAACAGAACACAATGTTGCTTTCAGCAAAAACGTTACAAAAGTAGGGGCCAGCCCTGTGGCCCAGTGGTTAAGTTTGGCGTGCTCAGCTTCGGTGGCCTGGGTTCAGTTCCTCGGCACAGACCTACACCACCTGTCAGTGGCCATGCTGTGGCAGTGACCCACATACAAAATAGAGGAAGATTGGCACAGATGTTAACTCAGGGCAAATCTTCCTCAGGAACAAAAAAATGTTACAAAGGTAAGGTTTTCTCTAAGAAAATTTTAAGTAAGTCCCATGTAAATAACCCAGTGACATATTTACAGTCTAAAACATTTCAGAGATGAAAACATGAAGGCACAGAGAAATGACTTGGAGCAGGTCTCGGTGTAGTGGTGGAAGACCAGAAGATCAGTGCCCGGGGCACCTGATTATCCAGAAAGTGTTCCTGGGTTGGTCTGTCTGTGGGGTAACAGACGACATGGTTCAAAACCATTGGCAATGGCGTCTCTACCACAGATGCAAAGGCTCTCTCCTCAAAGAGGACACAGCTCACAAAAGGGGTTGGGGGATATATGAGGAAGCCTAAAATGCAGGGAAACAACTCTGTGTATACATGCGGTATTACGAAGAGTTCACTCTTATATGCACCTCACAAAATCCCTCTAGTGAAAAAAAAGAAAAACGAGAAACTCACCTACATGGCGAGAGAGACCACAATTCACCCAACCTGTCGTGAACCAATAAGAACAACCACCCTTTTCTACACGTAGAAAGGGTTTGGGCTGGGTTACCAGGGCAATATAAGCTTATCCAGGTGCTGAACAGGAGACCCGAGCAAAGAAGAGCCCCTAAGGTCCCTCCAGCACTGCTTAATTCAACTTCATTCAAAGGAAACCCAACTGTCACTAATGGCCATCTCAAGTCTCTACTCCGGTTCTCTCCACCTGTGAAAATGGGGTTTAAGACAGATGTCATTTCAAAGGAGATGACACAATTGTGTGTGTGTGTGTGTGTGTGTGTGTTCAGAATGACCACATTTCTATGCAGCCTATGTTTTTGTCTTAATTAAATGAGAAAGAGATGTTTGTTGTTAATTTTTTGGGATTCTTCTTTGCTGCAAGGAGTTTAAAATACTTAGTTCTCTGCTGTTTGGAATTAGCGAGCTTCTGCAAAATTGATATTTTAAGAAAATCACAGATGATCTATTTTTTTAAATCCTTTAATACAATGCAATTTACACAATAAATTAAGGTTTACCCACCTAGCCCGAGAAAGTGATGCAAAAAATTAAGGCTGCTTTTTCATGATGGATTTCTGGATTAGCGATTCAGTCTTCATTCACGTAACACCTGCTTTCCTCAATTCTCTGCTGCCCTTTGAAGTAGCAACCGACTTCACTGGCCACACTGGCTGCAGGTGTTGTGGGTAGGACCGCAGACGACAGCTTCTGCTCAGGAGCCCAATGTTGCCTAAGCCCCTTGATTCTAGGATAAGCCAGCCTGTCCCCATGTTCTGTATGCTACTTTTAACTTTCAAAACATTTCCCATCAATGATCTCACTTCACCTTCACAACACCCTTTCAACTAAGTAAAAGAGTCATTATTCTACCCATTTCAGAGATACAGGGAATGAGGCAAAGGGCTTAATATCGTACATGTAGGAAAGGCAGACTTGGATTTCAATAGCCTATTTACCTCCCAGTGACAAGTCTCACATATGACCATATCGGACAGACTGAAAATAGGGGCAACGACTACCTGAAGTAATTAATTACTGCAATTAAAACTTACTTGCACAAACATACAGAAGGTGATAATAAAGAGCCAATTTCTTTTCTACTGAACACTACATTAAAAACTCATAGAAAGAGAAATAAAGTTGGTACAAAACTCACATTAATGTAAGTTAGAAGTCTAAGACAAAAAATCAAATAAGGATTTTTATGAACAGTCCTCACTATTGTTATGTTATTTCCATGTTACTGAAGACTTGATAATCAGTGCGGGCCTGTGTCATATTATCTGTGTGAAGTTGGTAAGTGTCATAAAGACAGCTTAAAAACCCACTGGCTGAAGATGGATGTGCAAATAGAAAGTTTTTCAGACTGTTTTATTTTCATTTACTGAAGATGATTTCATTCAGTGCCTTTTTATTTCCACAATAATCATGTAAACAGTGTATGCTCATTGTAAAAAGTTCAAAGCAGAAAAGTATAAAGAATAAAGTAAAATTACACAAAAAATTACTAACCCCAGTGGTTATCTAATCTCTGTTAAAAAATATTTTCAGATATGATTTTACATATGGGATCACATTATAGATGCTTGGTTTTTTTTTTCACTCAAAAATGTATTATGGATTCTTTCTAGGTTGATAAATAGTAATCTACATCAATATTCTAAATATAAAGACAGTATTTAATATATGAACATACTGCATTTTATTTAACCATTTATTCTCCAGGCCATTTAGGTTGTTTCCAATATCCCACTATTGTAAAGAAAACTGTAATGAACATTGTGGCAGGGACTGCTGTTTGCTTTCCAATGTTCTCTCCTTCTTCCCTGGTAACAGAACCCTAAGTTTGTGGGAATATTTCTCTCCAAATTAAAGACAAATTCTTGGACTTTGGTGCTATTGTGGCCATGTGGCTTATGAGCCAATGAAATATGAGCGGAAGTTTTGGGTGGAAATTTTTTTTTTTTTTTGTGAGGAGGATTACCCTGAGCTAATGTCCGATGCCAATCCTCCTCTTATTGCCGAGGAAGATTGGCCCTGGGCTAACATTTGTGCCCATCTTCCTCTATTTCATATGGGATGCTACCACAGCATGGCTTGACAAGCGGTGTGTCGGTGTGCACCTGGGATCCGAACCTGCCAACCCCGGGCTGCCGCAGTGGAGAGTGCACACTTAACCGCTGTGCCACCAGGTTGGCCCCTTGGGTAGAAATTCAGAAAGAGCTTCCTTAAGAGAACTAATTCAACTGAAAGGAGCCTGTTTATACCCTGCTTGATGACTGGAATGTGGATATGGTGGCAAGAGCTCAGCAGCTATCTTGGGTCTTAAGATGACCTTATGGATTACTGATCAGAAAGATAGAAGACTGGGTCCCTGAACCGCTTCCCTCCAGACTTCTTTTACGTAAGAGAAAAGATATTTCTATTGTGTTAAAGCCACTGTTTATTTTTAAAATTATTCTGATAAGAAACAGTAGATATAACTGGTAAAGAGTTTGCTACTTGGAAGTGGGATGCTGCAAGTAATAGAGGATGAATCTTGGGCGCTAGTTTTGTGGAGGAGACAGGGCTTGGGGGAGTGAGGTTTCAGATATTTTGCTGGAAACCTGGCATCTTGCATCATGCAGAAGGAAACTACCTGGTTAGTCTATCGCTTTCTTTACCTTGGAAGGTTAATCATGTATCAACCAAAACTAGAACTTCATGAAAAATTATAGGAAAATTTTACTTTTTTTAAAAGCTCTGTTTAAGATATTTTTTGAAACTGAAGTTTTTTATGAAGTTTCTTGAAACTGCTTTTTCCCAGATTAAAATGAAATGTATTGGGAAAAGGAAGAGATAAGAGTAAAGAAAAGACTAGGCTGAACAGAAAAATTAAGATATTTATTCCTTAAAAAAGGACAAAGGGAAGAGATAAAATATTAAAAATGCTTCCAATATGGGCAAGTAATATTAAACCAGATATAGGCTTGGTAAATTTTTAGAAATAAAAGAGACCCTATATTTGAAAATTGGGAATTGCCAATATCAGTTCAGAATAGTGACTTAGAAAAATTTGTACGTATTTTCTATTGATAAACAACTTTATTTAAGCCCTTTGGAATTTTTAAAGATAAAAATGTGAGATGCTCAAAAAGTAAACTTATAACTTGAATTCCCAGTGCTGTACACCTGGGACAACCGCATTTCTTGGGTAGATGTTACAATGTTACGAGAGGATGCATGTCAGTTGTCCATGACCAGACTCCCTCTGGGTTACAATAATAACACATCTAGATTCATGATCTCATTGCAAAGGGCATGCCGCAGTTGATTTTATGTTTTAAATGTGAAAAATATTCTTGCTGTCTATGTGTTCCACCGGCTTGTTGGCATTTATGGAGGAAAAAGATTTCAATTGGAAAATGTGTCCAAGAGAGTTGTAAAATTTTAGGAAGGAAGGCAGATTAAAAGTAAATTCAGGAAAATTGAAATTCTGGCATGGACTACTGGTGAAAACACTAAACAAATCAACTACCATTATTCTAGGGAGAAGAGTAATAAATTTGCAACCCAATCCAAAATCCAGTTAATACTTGGAATCATATGTACTGTTGCTGAGGACAGACTTGGAATGAACCTGGCTGCAGAAATAGCTCCACAAAATTGTTCCACAGTAACAAAAGTAACCCTCTTCTCTTGTACCTAGTTGACACTGGAAACGACCCAGGCTATCCCAACAGTCTATGTTCGGATTATGCAGAAAAGAGGCAAAAAAAAAAAAAAAATTAGCTGAGGAGTTGGAATATGTTTATTTTTTCATGAAATTCAGTTTTCCTAAAAACATCTTACAAATTTGCTTGCTGATCATTCCTTGAATTACACAGAATAAATCCATGTCTTATTGTTATGACTGTTAGAGACAGAAACAATGATTTCAATTAAATCTCACCACCCACAATACCATGTAATTATTATGGAGAATTCATTTCCAGACATTTTCATTGCCATTATTACTTAGATGTTTTGAAGCTGCAGTAAGAGATAATACTTGAATGTATTTGAATGACTCTCGAGTCATTAATATAATAGATTAAGAGGGTCAGAATATCGTCTCTTTCTTCTATTTGTAACCATGAAACGCCTGGAATGACTATATGTTGAATGGTATCATCTGAGCATGCCTTTTTATTTATTTATTTATTTTGAAATCTGTTACTAAAGTCATGTGCTGCCTCCCAGTGGAGTTATTTCAGAGGGCACAGA